GTAAAATGCTCACTTTAATATAGAAACCGAAATCGATCATCGAAATCGAAAATGGTTATATTTTTGTCTAAAATAACAAACAATAAAAATCAAGGCTCATTAGTATAACTAAGTTATAATCGAAATAAAATATCCCATCTCCATACCGAATATCCAATAGCCAGTCTTAGGAACAGTATTTGTCAGTCATCTCTTTGACATCAGATAGATGCGTGTATGTACGGATAACCCGGAGAACCAGATCATACCCCCTAACCCCCCAACCCTCCATCCCCGGTACATATTCACAGTTAGACCCGCACTAGATAGTAGATATACTCTTGGTATGTATAATCCATCAACACCCCCCGTGAATACCTAACAACGCATCAATTTAAAACTGGTATCACTGTTTGTGAAAACAGTACTGGTTGTGAAAAAACGAATTGTCTTCACATAACAGTGCTGTTGTGACAGCCTGTAGATATTTAATTAATACATCACAAAGTCATGTCAAGGTGAGTTGATAATCATTTGGTACATACGTTTTTTTAAATGATCGACGAATACCTGGAAAAATATGAATGTAATCAGAAAATTCAATAATAATATCCTGAACAAAATATCATTGATCATGAATATTTTTTTTTTTATGAAAGTGTGTAAATTCTTATATTTCAGTACAAGATATTTTTTTCACATTCTCAGGCATGAAACCGACATGGGTTTTTTTTAATATTCTGTACTGAAACATCAGCTTGCTTGATCAGTTAGAAAAAACATATCAACTTAAATGTCCGGAACACAATATGTATAAATGAGGGTATAATACTATTTTGAAACTGATGATTGGTTCAAATTCTTTAATACATTTTACAACTCTTGGTAGGTTATCGAACCTAAATTCCGCAAAACCAAAGAAAAATGTTAGCTCCATGTCGTAGTCATGTGAACCGTTTCAATATATGTGGAACATATTCATATTTTTATATTTCTAAAAAGCTCCTCATATGTCATAATATGATTCCAAGACTGTATGGAGCGTTATTCATTGACAAAACACACATAGGGAACCGTATTACAAGTCTGTAGAGATGATTTCCATATTCCACATTGTGTGAACAATTTCATAAACGAATGTTTACACACAATAGAACAGGAGCAGTTATCTGAAGTACTACATCCTGATATTATATAAGGTTTTTTTTATTGCTCTTTGCAGATGATTTGATTTTAATTTCAGACACTATTAGGGGATTATAAGTATTGTGTGGACTGGAGTATGTTGGTTAATATTGTTTCAGTTAATATTGAAAAAACTAAAATTGTTCTGGGCGGCTGAATAATAAAGTACTGTCGGAAATGCTAGAAAACTGCTTTTTGCCTGTTGAAAAGGGATATAATTTTTCACAGACTGTTGTTATTGAAATATCGAGTAACTGCCGATCGCCCTACCTGTGGCTTGAAGTATTTTAGTCACAAGGAGTCCGATCGACAAGTTTACAGGAGACACATTCTAACGAAAACAGGAACTTTACATTTATTCAAAGTCCAATGATGGCAGACTGAAACGGACTATAGAAATATGCGCACGTGACTCCGTTACAATGATAATAATGTAGTCTTCATAAAACATCTACTCCACAAACAAAAATCATTTTGAGAAAATTTTAGAAGTGCAGCTTTTAAAATGACAAATGACGCTGCGTTTTTTTTGGTTAACATTGCTCCCATGATGCATGTTACGTTACACTTGCATAGCCATAACCAAGGTACACGATATGGAATCTGTACTTGGATATGCATACAAGGTCTTTACACTTTAGAGTGATAGAGGGAAACCATTTATTAATTGAGATAGGATGAAATACCGAACTGCCCAAGCTATGGGGTTTTCTATTCATACCATCAAGTCTACGGTATGATAAGAAAACTAAACAGGTATAGGGGTGGTCTCAAAAACAAAACTGGGCCGTAAAAGGATATTAGACAGCTTTGATAGAGGGTGATTAGGCGTATAGTGTACAAGCTTTATGAGCAGAAGGTAACCCTTGTAGTAAAATTTGGAAGGAATTAAAGATACAAGTAATGTTTCCCGGACTGCACTAACTATTGCTTGGGATTTCGATACACTGCGCGTGGCGATGACCGAGCACTTTTCAGGGGAAAATATTCCATCCTGTCTGTGAGGTCACATTATCTCCGAACCATTCATAACTATCACAGTCAGGGCGTCCAGATAATTTACCTTGGTGAATCATTCCACTGACTACATGTGGCTATTGGCAGATGGACAAAAGGCACCCATAGACCATCAGGTAAATGTAATCGTGTCATTGTTGTGCACGCTGCAACCCATGATATGGGGCTTATTGATGGATGTTTTCGAGGCGAAGAAAAACACTGGTGATTTTCATAGGAGGTGATGTGTTCATAGACTGGTTGGAACTTCAGCTACTGCCCATTTTAAACAACGCCAGTGTGATTGTCATGGATAACGCCAGTTAATATAACGTCTGGGAATCAGATACTGTCGCCCAAACCATGAGTAGTCTGAAGGCGACCATACAGGAACATATGACTTTGCTCGACTTCAGACCATATGAAACCGAAAGTTCAACTCATGGAGAAAATTCGGCTGAATAAGAAACCAGTAAAGTACAAGACATATGTGCTGGCGGCACAACACGGTTACGTTGTCTTACGTACGGCAGTCAGACATTGTGAGCTCAACCCTGTTGTGTTTATCTTGGCTAAATGTACAGGTTTCGTGGCAAGACATAACACAACATTCAAAAGTACAGATTCACATACGTCATCAGCGGAGATAAATGCTACCTCAAGAAACCATCTGTAGAACAACAACTACTTCTGGATTCCAAAACCGCAACCTTCCAATACTCATCCAGTTTCATAGCTCTTAACTGGTCCATCATGTTTCCAAGCAAATATAATGCAGTACATATCCTAAATTGCTACCTCATCAACGCATGTCAATTAAGTACAATAACAGCAATATTTTGAGACCACCCCCAACTCGGTGACATTTGCACCTGGGAGAATGCACGGGACTGTGTGAGGTCATCACCTCGGGACAGGTATTAGGTAATTTACCTCAGGTTATAGGCCATTTCATACATGCATGACAACACACGAATATTTTCTAAGTTTATCATCATTTTACCTGTAAAAGTACATTTGAAGGGTAATCACAGTGTCAGTTAGGATAGGCCAGATTAGGGCAATTTGCGTTATTTTGATATATGCTCTTTTTATAGTCCTATGACTCGTATTTATTAAAAGAAGCCAGAAAAGCAGTTTTCTAGCATTTCCGACAGTACTTTAGTAAAAAATGATATTTGAATCGACAACTTGTGGAACTCACACAAGGGTATAAATATTTAGGTTTGTTTTAGGCAGCAGGCTGTCACGGACACAAGCTTTAAGTAACAAGGCAGTTCAAGCTACAATTGTATTAATTAACCTATTAAGAAGCATTAATTGTTAACAGTCTTATTCCCCAAAATTTCGTGTCAGATTATTTGATTCTAAGATATCACCTATGTTATTGTATGGGTCAGAAATATGGGCATTTCATAAAATAGAAGAAGTTGAGAAAGTTCATTTATATGCGTGTAAATGGTTATTGAATGTTAAACAGTGTACATCAAGTAGCGGTGTATTGGCTGAATGTGGCAAATTCAATTTACATATCAATGCAAAGATTAGAGCTTTTAAATATTGGCTACATTTAATGTGTATGCCGGGTACCCGTTTACCCCAAAAGTGTTATGAAATGATGTATCTATACTATAGTCAAGGAAAGAAGAACTGGGTTACTAATATCAGAACAACGTTATTTTCTCTCGGATTCGGTCATTTTTGGTTATCACAATCACCCGGTAATGTACAGGAATTTACTTCGATGTTTTTGCAATGTTTGAACGACAATTTCCAACAACCAGGACACAGAAGTTTATGTAATAGCTCTAAAATGTCCTATTCTCATTTTAAATTAACGTTGAAGTGTGAAGAATATGTCTATTTGTGTAACCGTGAGTAAATTCCGGTCATGTAGGTCAAGGTCTTGATGCAGTGCACACTTGCTGGAAATAGTAGCCGGTAGAAAACTTAACATCCTTCGTGAAGAAAGATTTGGCAAACTATGTCAAGTTGGCCTCATAGAAGACGAGTTTCATTTCCTGCTAGTGTGCCCTGCATATACTCACCTGCGCCATCTCTATGTTCCTTCAAAATATTATCTACACCCAAATGTCCATTAGTTTAATATTCTTTTATCTACAACTAACACAAAGCTCATTATTAATATCGCTAAATATCAGTATCATAGTAAAGAAGAAAGAACACGTATTTTATCATTGTGATTGTCGCCATAAATATGTGTCATACAGTTTGTACAAAGGGTCTGTGGCCTGTATAGTACTTAATAAATAATACTCGAACTCCCTACTTTATGCCCAAAGTCAAGGTAAGAACGGGGTCATAATTCGTAATCAAAGCAGGGGTAGTATGTGATATTGCTTTGTGCATCGTATGTATCGGTCGACTGACAAACATGCGCGACAGACTGGCACAGTGAAGCAAAATTAGAACATTGAACATTTACCAACGTTGCCAGACAATTTCATTTCTTTTAACAGTCTGAAGCATATTTGTTCAAGCAATTTCAGGGACAATATATTGTTTTTGATAAAATACCTGGCCTTCATCCTCTGAGATTATCAAATGGTCCGTGCCTGCGACTGATGTAGAGATCGATAGAGACAGGCGTGTGACCTTGAGGATAGGACGGGTGAAGACGGGTGATATATGCGCGGTTCCACTCAGTTAATATCAGTTAATATCAGTTAATTGCTTTATGCGATCACCTTGGAGAGCGCATTGCCATTTTTTGGTCAAAATGTCATGCAATAACACATTCAAACATTTGTGATACTTTCAAAATGGAAAACAGTTTGTTACAGTTCTGTAAACATCACTGCAAGGAGGCATAGAGTTACCTTGTTTTAGTAATCAATCCTTTTTTATCCACGGTCCATATTTGAAATGCTCTCGGCTTTCTTTCCTCTTGTACTCGTTTGAACAGGTAGACGGGGATGTCACGTGAGGGGGTGTTAGGGGCAATGGCCGCCTTCGTTTCAACACATCCACTATGAAATGACCTCCGCTTTATTTAACCTGTTTGCCGATCTGCGGTCCCCGCCCGCCTCACTGAACACAGTGCCCACACTGGGAATTGATTCAACCCTGGTACGAGAGGCTCTAAGCTCCCTTCTGTGCAATTCGACAAAGGGTCACACAGAGAAGCGCCACATTGGGAATAACCACTTTTGCCGAATGATACAAAAGAGTTTTAGAGTCTCTATCATGAGGGATTAAGCAATTCCCTGTGTGGACACTGTGTTCAATGAGGCGTGAGCAGGTCGGTGGCCATACTGTGTTACCTGGATATTGTGCTTATTTATATTTCTTCTGTTTTAGTCCTATCCTTTCTTCTCATTATCCGAAGTGTCAGGATGAAAAGATAGGGTGATATTGGGTCACCCTGTCTACAGACCTTTTCATTTTAAAAAATAGATGACAAATGACCATTTGATATTACACATGACGTAGTATTATTAGTTAATATGTGAATACATCTGAGGGCCAAAACCATATTTTTCAAATTATTTCATCATTACTTTTGGGACACACTTTTTCAAAACAGATAATAGCTGGTTTCTCGTTTTTTTGCTTCAAACAGTCTGATGTTATCACTGGTAACTGGTGATTTTGTGACCTTCCTGGAATGAAACTTGTCTGGTTTCCATGAATTAATAGTATTTAGAGTTAGATGCATACTGTTGGCTGTACACGTACTTGGTATTTTATAAAGTAGCTTAAGTCGAGATATTGACCGCCAATTCTTCAAAGTGTGTCTGTCCTTGTTTGATATGGGATACGTGTGATAACACTCCTACTAATCATTGTGGTTAATTTATTGTTATTAATTTTGTGTTTGAAAAATCTGTAGACACAAATGTCTAAATCTTTTCTAAAGAAGTTGTAAGAGATTGACACGGAAGCCATGATTACCCGGGCTATTTGTATTTGTATTTTTTATGTTTTTACTCCTTTTGATATTTCTTGAAATTCTGTTGTTTTTTTCCTTATTCATAAGAAAATCTATTCACTTGTTCACAACAAACGTAACTTCACAATTAACACATCGTTTTTATGGGCTTCAACACTATCAGTAAAAGCACTGCTGTGCGGCGCCTGGCGATAAGTGCCTACTGTTTAATGCAAATTGTGAGAATGGCGGGTGCTTTATACCTGTGGGGAAGGACATGTTTATCCTTTTCGAGAACACCTATTTCACAGCTATTTTGCGCCTTACGCCAAATATTAATCTGTTTCGGCGGATAATCTTAACTGGTTATTCTCTTGCACGTCTCCTTGAATTATTACCTCTCCATTGTCAATAATTAGCACATTTATGAGTTTACTTGTGTCATTTCTGTTTTCAAAGTTTTTAACTAGATGTTGTTCACCCTCTTCATACCACTGGATTTTATTTCAAATTTGTATCGTTCTAGATTCTTCCACACTTATTGATTTCTAAATCTGCTTTGTATTTTGATATACAGCAAAAGATTCTTCATCAATACGTTGAATACTTATTTTCTAGTACATATTTTTTGTTTCAAACTGTTTTGTATTTTCTCTTTTTTCCTCTGTGATTTCCATTGGTGAATTTTTCGTATTTCGGATGTTTAGTTGTTGTTTTCATCAGCATATTCTTTGTTTCTTCTGATATTTTAGGTACAGGGTTCATATAACCTTCGTTTCGGAGCAGTGAAGTATTCAGTTTCCAGTAACCTTTGCCCCTAGTTTGGCTGTTGGCATTAGACAATGTTAACATGGCGACACTGACCTGATTCACAACCCGGTAGAATGAATGATTCATAAGTTAAATTACATGTGTAGGACCCTGATCCGTGGCGGATTCTCAAGTGTATGGCAGATTCCACATATTCGGCAGATATTGGCGCATACTGTGTGCCAGATATCATTTATTATTCATTGTTGTCAATAGTTCCGTCGAAGTGTGATGTTCACTGCAGTGACATACCAATTGTTATTTTTCACAGCAATGGAAACATCACTTTTCTCAACTTCTGAAAACTCGGTCTTTCACACTGAAGTATATAAAAAAGTATTATAAAGATTTCATAAATAGCGGCAGACTTTCGATGATCAATGTTGTGATTTCTCTGGATTATTTTTATCATTTCCCCTTTGGAATAGCCTCGTCGGTGCAGGGATTGCATATCGGTACTTTTCTTAAAAACGTTCCCCGAAGTTTCATCATAGAAATAAGTTTCTAAGACCATACTTTCATTTGCCGGAGTTGATAAAATCCGGAATATTTTCACGCTTCCGAGATTCGGATTCCAGAGCCTTTACGCGAAGAATTCTTGTATTTTTAAAAAAAAAAATCATCTAAAAATCATGTCGAGACTGTCGTTTGGACATTAATCGACAAGATGAATATTGGAGCACTTTCATTTAGTTCTCGTCATACATCTATCATGTCATGTTTTCTATTTGTTCAGTACTGTATTTCTAGCTTTTTATCATTACTGTTTTTATAACTTTCAAAGTCTTGTGACGGGTCAAGAACTAGATCCCAGTCCCCACATATTATTACAGATTCATTAAGAAAATCACCGATGTTCTTGAATAATGTATTATATATATGGAACGTTGGATCATCACTCTCAGATCCACACATATTACAAAGACGAAGTGTTATTCTTTCAATAGTTTTACCTGTGAAGAGAATTTCGATTTACATGAAATTCAGTCTTGTGGATTTGTTTTTCAAAATTACTATAAAATAGAATGGCAGCTCATCTTGTGTTTGGTTTGTATATGCAATGTAATAAATGCTTTTCAGTCCATACATGTCATGTTGTTTAGAACATTGAATACTATGCATACACAATATAGAATATTTTATATCCCGGTCCTATTTTGTTGCTGCCAAATCGCTAAAGTTTATATAAAACTAGCTCTACTTTGTGAAGATCCGGGATAGACTAGGTCATCAGCAACCCATGCTTGCCGTAAAAGGCGACAATGTTTGTCGTAAGAGGCGACTAGCGGGATCGGGTGGTCAGTTATCCCAATTGCGTAGATCGATGCTCATGGAGTCAATCACTAGATTGTCTGGTCCAGACTCGATTAATTACAGACCGCCGTCATATAGCTGGAATACAACAAACCAAGCATAGTGCAAATAGAATTTACCAATTTGAATTAAAGTGATCAACCTGAAAAAAAAATCTCAATCGAGATCTTGGTATTTCGTCATAGTGGTATTTTTTAATATTGCTTTTGCAAATTATCGTTTCAGAGAGGGTCATGAAAATAGTGTCCGCTATATTATGATCCTATTTTTAAGTATGACAAGTATAAGGAAGGATAATTGTTTTCAGTACATTTGTACGTGAAAAAGCTCTTCCCGGGTAAACAAAATGACCGGCCCAACACGTGGCCTAAGTAAGAGATTTTACGTCCGCCCCACGGCGCTATATAATCTTTAACGCGACGGGGGGGGGGGGGCTCACTGACTTGGTTGATGCATGTCATCGGTCCCAATTGCGTGGATCGATGCTCATGTTGTCAATCACTGGATTGTCTGGTCCAGACCATCTTCCCGAGCAAGAGAGTTAACTGACTTTAAAAGTCCAGTTTCCACCGAGTTATTTCCTTTCCAAGCTTCTCCTATGGACCAATCAGATTCCACCTCTCGTATCCCTTGCATTTGTTTCAAACAAAATGGCGGCGGCGAGTCAGGTCGATCTGCTCGATAATCAAGATCTATATTGTGATAAAACGGGTCTTACATCGCGAAGTGCATCAAATCACGTAAAAACCTTGATTTAAATTATGAAAAGATTTGGAAAATTTGGCAACGAGTTGGCGGTGCACATGCTTTGCAAATCTTGCAATCGACCGAAATCTGCACGAAAGTTTACGAACCGGATTTCGATTTCGGTGCGCGATTTTGATTGGACGATGCAAAGACTCTTTAGTCCAGCAAAAGCTTAACTCAATAATACCAGCCTAGTTCGGCAAGGGAGGAAACTGGACTTTTATAGTCAGTTAACTCACTTGCCTCGGGAAGATGGGTCAAGACTTGATTATTTACAGACCGCCGTCATATAGCTGGAATATTGCTGAGTGCGGCATTAAACAACAAACAAACAATACTAGTAGATTAGTGGTCACCACATTTAGTCAAAATGCCCAAGAGTCAAGGAATAAAGTGTTTCCTGAAGCTCGTGTGGGATACTGACGCGGTTAAGTTGCCGAGGAACCAAGGATCATGACATAGGTGAACGTATAGTGGATCCTGGCGCAGCTAAGGAATGGAACTCTGTACAGCGAATAACGGCGTCGTAGGGCCACCCACCTACCGCAAGAGTATCTACGTACGAACATCACCAGGGGATTCCTGGTCGAGTGGGTCTCCAGCATGCCGTGCATGTCGTAAGGTGATCTCAAACACTTTGAACAGTTTATTTCTCTCCAAACCACCGGCGGTGGTACAAAAGAGTACAAAAGAGCAAGCATGTAAACAATATATCAATGTGACAAGATGACAGTACGTCATGCATGGATATGTTAAAATATCTTTTCTGTTTTGTATTTTCTTACTGCTTTAAATATTTCATCAATAAATCTCGATAGGCTCTTAAGATTTCTAATGTTTTGACTGGACAATAACCTCTTAAATGCATACAAATTAGACCATTTATTTTGGTAAGCAGTTGGTCAGTATACAACTCTATGTTTTGACAGAGCCTGGCATCTAAACAGATAATGGAATTCGTCTGCAACTGAAGGAGAGTTGCACAGTTCACATACACGATCCTCTTTCTTTACATTATTCCAACGGCCGATTTCAATAGGTAAATTATTGTTATATGTTCTGAATTTTAAGATTGGAATATGCATATTTTTTTGTCATTAAAAGGTATCTTTCAAATTTTGGTTTTCTGTCGTCAGATGCCATATTGCATCTCCATTCTTGTAGGAATTGATCCTGTAGTATCTAGCCTACCTTTGCAACCAGCCATGTGGTATTATTGGTATTAGGGTTATAGAATATGTGTGTTAGGCCACAGTTATCTAATATAGTTTTAATCCGTTCTAGCCAGGGATTGCTTACATCATGATTCCTTTCAACAATGTG